TGGTACAGTACACTTGGGCAGGTGGAGTGTTGTGATTTGTATATCTCACAAGTGTGCGGATCATAATAAGTAATATAGTGCACCAATAAGTTCGGATATCGTTCATACGAGAACTACTATCTAACAATGGGTTAAATTATTTCTAACTTTAATTTGATCGAAAACAAATAATAAGGTTTGTAATTGGTACCTAAATTATTCTAACTAAACTAAATTATCTAACGTACACAATTTATCGATTTTGAGTTTTAAAAGTATGAATATGGATGCTACGACTTACAATTTTACCTATGGATCTTTTTTAAGTCGCTAATCAAGATTCATTGCTATTGTAGTGTTCGGTCGAATTCTTCTAAAGTATTCAATTTACCCTTTTCGAGTTTTCATTGATTCTATTTAACTAATTCAATTCCACATCTCTATGCGAATCAATCATAGTTAAACAAAAAACTGCTTTTAAAAATTCATCTAATGATCGCAATAATTAGTATAGATATCTTTATACATTATACTAAATTACCGAATTTTATTATATGGTCTAAATCAAAAACTCACTTATCGATTCGTAATAGATTCACAAAACCATTGAATAATTGGCCAAAGAATTCAAAGTATTAAATTCACGAATAAAATCAACATATATGCATTTAAAGAACTAGAATCTTGAATAAAAGAAATAAATGGTCATACATAGATCACATTGTTCATCTTAATTATGAATTTAGATACTCATAATAATGAAAGAAAAATAAAAAGTATAGAATTCATAATCGGGGTTTGAAATCTTAATCATAGAAAGAATTGGATCTTACACAAAAAATTTTCTTCAACCTCAAAATTCTTCAAACCCTTACTTTTTCTCTTTGATCTTGATGATCATGTGTTTTTTTCTCCCCCAAATTGTGTTCTCTAGAATTGTATTTATGTTTTATTCAAGTCTTGGAAGAGTTTTAGTTGAATTGGACTTTTAAAAAAATGAATTGCACTTGAAAACCCCATTTGGTGGCGGGCGGCGCCTAGGTGGTGCGAATTTGATCTTTCTTCACAAGAGAGGCACCCACTGGGTGGCGCCTACTCCCTCTCTGTGCATTCTTCAAGTATTTTTATCATATCTTTTTTTTTCGATTTTTGATTAAGGTGATTCAAAATGAGTCGAAAAGATAAATCAAAAGGCTACAATTTTACTAGAAATATCTTTTTTCCAATTCCAACATTTACTATGTCAAAACTGAGTCTTAATTTCTGACTAAAAATTTGGAACATACTTGTGCGGTTAAAAATATTTTGATCATATTTTATTCCTTTTCGACTTCTAATTGACTAGCATTCTCGAATCTTTATCATGAGGTTCGATACAACTTTTGAGTATTTACATTTTAGTCCTCATAATTTGGATCTTGCTTTTTTCGCCAATCTCTACTTCTTTCTTTCAATTCTACTTCCTTTTATCGAAATTCACCTAATAAACGAAATATACAACAAATTAGGATATAATTATTCAAAAGAACTATTAAATGTTTATATTTTTAGGTCCAAATAAGTGTATAAAATAGGGGTTCCAAAAGTCCCGAACCAAATCGAACCGAACCGAACCGAACCAAGCGGTTCTTCGTAAATTAAATACACGAATCGAGAACCGATGGCTTTGGGTCAGGTCTCGAGTCTAGACCAAGAATCGAAGAACCGAATAAGAACCGAAACTAAATAATTTTTTTATTTTTTATATTGAATTAATTAAATTATTTTATTTTTTTTATACAAATTAGCAAATTAATTAAATAACTACTTTTTGGTATTTGTATGCATTGAATTAATCTTATTGGACGGCTAGTTATTTATATGTTTTTGAATTGGGCTACGTTAATTTGTAAAAGTTACGAATGAAATGTCATTAGTTGTATTTATGTAGTGTTGCTGTAAATATTAAAAAAATTTAATTATGGTACGGAACCGAATCGATCCGAATCGAACCGAACGAAACCGAACCCGAACGGTTCCATAATTATATATAGACCCCGACGGTTCCATTTATTAAATACCCGAAATTTTTGGGTCGGTTCGGATCTCTTCAGAACCGAATCGAACCGACCTACAGACAGCCCTAGTATAAAATACACTTATCCTGGAGTCCTAAAGGTTAGTAAAGGTGGCCTTATTGTATTGAAGGGATAAAGAAGGTCCAAGTTTTATGTCTTGCTTGGTTCTATATACTATTTAGATATTAATCAACAAAAAAATGGAACTCCGGTAGATTTTGAGCTTGGTACAGTTTCATTGGTGTTTTGGTTTATGATCTATATTAAAGAATACATCTCAGTTGAGTTCAAAAACTCAGGGTAATACCGTTTTGCCACTACCATCGGTGGTGCCTCGTATTCAATTGATAGAAATAGACTCAGGAGAGATATTAGGCCTTCACAAAAGTACAGTGAAACTGATTTTGCTGCTTTTGATCAGGAGAGATATTAGGCCTTCACAAAAGTTTAGTGATACTGATTTTGCTGCTTTTGTTTTAAGTGCAGTCGAAGGTATTGAGTCTAGTAAAAACACATTCTACAGAAGCAGTTAGTTATGTTGATTATGCTATAGTGTATGTTTCTACCCTATTTAATAATTATTAAGTTATTTGTGATCTTGTTGCTCGTTATGATAATTCAAGCAACTTTGGTGCCCAAGGTAATACTATTGAGTAGTACTTGGATTTCAGTCAATATTCAATTATTGAGTTTGCCCTATTTGGGTTTTGTAAAAAAATGAAGAATTTTTCTGTTGTAGAATTTTTTGGTGGAGAATTTGTTGTTGAAGAGATAAGTTTTATTTCTTGTAATAAAATTTGTCTCCGGATGGAGAATTTTTTAAGTTCTTTTCATTGCATTGGAATTTGTGTCAATGTGGAGTTTGTTAGAATTAGGGTGTGACCCAAATTCTATTTTGAAGACTATTTGAGAATTCTACTTGAAGCCGACTTGGAAATTCTAGTTGAAGTTTAATTGGAAATTCAATTTGAGAGTTTAATTGGGAGTTGATGATTTGTGTTAAACTTGAAGAAGAAAAAGGAGTCCAATTTGAAATAGGAGAGGAAAAATCCGTGCAAGAAAAAGTATCACATCGGCACTCGCTACGCGCCAATCATCTCGATCGAGAGCTCAGAGCAGAAGTTCCAACGCTCATTGTCCACGAGGAGGCCACTCAAGCGGCAGTCTTATCCGGTGAATGTTCAGTTCGCGATTTTGAATTTTTGAATCCTATTTTATTCCAAACACTATATTCTTGTATAAACTTGTTATAGTTGAACTCCACCACATCTTAAACTCTTCTTTGCACTACATAAATGAGGAGTAAACATATAAAAAAATCGATCCTTACATTCTACACAATAATTTATAATCTTTCGTTATTGATATTAATAAATTATCCCCTTCTGCCAGTGGATCTTTTTCAACGTAAATCTTGTGTTATTGTTTGATTTTTATATTGTTATATTATTCTCGTCCCTTTATTTGATAGCAAGTGGTATCGGTTTGATACATAATTCCTAACAATAATTTTATACTAATGCAGTCTAACCTGGCGCCAAACGAAATCTTAAGTTGCAAATATTTGGTATTAGTTGCTTTCAAGACATCAATTATACGAGACAACATATCTGAGACTTTATAGGTAGATTAACTATAAAAGGCGAATTTCTGTGTACATACATAGTTCATTTTCTTGGAGCCACAACATGCAGTCGGTCATAATCTCTATCTGCACCTAAGAACTTCATTTTCACATTTTTGGACTTCGCTATGACAGGTTTGATTGATGAATTAATACCAGATTTCAGCCCAAAATGGAACCAGAGCGTTAAACTTGCCACGAAATTAGAAGTTAGAACACTAGTTTGTTTCAAAGTACATATCCATCTGTAATCAACCAAAAATATGTAGACGATAGTGTTCACATGAGCTACTTTTCTTCTGCAAACTATCATGTGTGAATAATAGATTATTAGAAGAAGTGTCTGGCTTCTCGAGTTGAATTCTTAATTATGGTATTTGACAGACTTCACAGTATGACGAATCAAGTAGCCAATAGAATTGTGGCCACCTCCCCTTCACGTAGGCATCACTTGCACGATAAAACACACCATTAGGAGGCCAAGATCATTGGTCGAGAAAAAGGTTCGACAACCGTTTGCACTTCGACAGTCGAACAAGAGATAATGAGTGCAAGAGACGAGAGACGAAATTTGGCTAGGATTAGAAAATATTACATTCAGTATGAATTGGACTCACAGATATATAGAGCAATGAAAATGCACCAAGTGGAGCTAATGGATCAAGCCCAACCCCAAGACGAGGTTACTTGATTTAATAGGCTCAATCCAATTGACATAAACAATTGTCGAGTCGGTCAATGTGAGACACTTGAGTCATGCAAATGCTACATAATTTATAGATATAACAATATTATTGTGATAAAAATATAATAGATGCAGTGTCATGGAAAAGTAAGAGGTTTTTTTAATGAACGGGCAGGAGGATGTTTATGGATGCTTTGACCAATTAATGGATAGCTAGGCTAGCTGCATCTAATTAGGGTTTAGCCGTTTAGGAGACAAGGCCACATGTGTAGGACCTCGGTAGCATCTAATCTACGTACATTTCAATTCCTCTATATCAATGCCAAAAATATTCTAAAAAGTCACTGTTTTTTTCTTTTTTGCACCCAGTATTTGAGGCTCGCTTTCAACCAAAAAAAAAAAATATGTATCTGAGGCTCTGGAGAGTGGGGAAGGGTCCTAAATTTGCAGCGTGAGATATGGCAGCTTCCTCTCAGAGTTTATCTTTATGTCTTAACTTTTTGAATCTCAACATTAGTATGCCTCAACTTCAGTGCATTACTTACAAATCATGAATGAAATTCCCAAAATATTTCTCTCATCAAACTAAGCACATAAAAACAGAGAAAAAAATCCATTCATCTATCCATCACTTTATCTTTTCCTAGCACCAACTATGATTCTAAAGTGTAATCCAACAGACACCGAAGCCGGTATGAAGCTTCTGGAGGACCTGACTACAAATGCAAACCAAGTGCAGCAACAGGTACTGAAGGAGATACTAACACAAAATGCAAATACAGAGTATCTAAATACCTTCCTGGATGGCCATGCCTCCAAGAAACTTTTCAAGAAAAAAGTCCCTGTCGTCAATTACGAAGATATCGTGCCTTATATTGAACGAATCGCCAATGGAGAACAGTCGAATATCATATCAGCTCAGCCTATTATTGAGCTCCTCACAAGGTAAACTATAAAGCATTTCTACTTTCAGCTTATGCCTTGTTTTATTATTTTTTTCCCTAACGCCGTTGGATTTTTACATAGCTCTGGAACATCTGGAGGGCAGCCAAAGATGATGCCTTCAACTGCTCAAGAGCTTGACAGAAAGTCATTCTTCTACAATATCCTTGTACCGGTGATGAACAAGTAAGTAATTAAGAAGAATTTAATCCACTTCCTGCTTAACTTGTACGTACTGTTTGTTTCAAATTAATGAAACAGTGATAAGAAAATTGCTAAAGTCTTCTATTTTCTGTTACAATTTAGGTATGTAGAGGGGTTAGACCAAGGAAAGGCAATGTTTCTTCTCTTCATAAAACCAGAAATCAGTACCCCAGCTGGCTTGGTTGCTAGACCAGTCCTAACTAGCTACCATAAAAGCAGCAACTTCAGAAACCGGCCTTTCAATAAATTCAATGTTTATACTAGTCCAGATGAAACCATACTATGTTCAGATAGCAAGCAGAGCATGTATTGCCAGTTGCTATGCGGTCTAGTACAGCGAAGTGAGGTCCTGAGGGTTGGTGCAGTTTTTGCATCCGCTTTTCTGCGTGCAATCAAATTCTTGGAGGATCATTGGCGAGAACTATGTCTTAACATAAGAACAGGAGAACTTAGTGACTGGATTACCGATCCAAGTTGCAAGAACGCCGTGACTTTAATTCTAAGCAAGCCAATGCAAGATTTGGCAGATTTGATTGAGCATGAATGTATTGGAATATCATGGGAAGGGATAATTAGGAAGCTTTGGCCAAGAACCAAGTATGTTGAGGTTATAGTTACGGGATCTATGGCACAATATATATCAACTCTTGAATTTTACAGCGGTGGCCTGCCTTTGGTTTCCACAATGTATGCTTCTTCCGAGTGCTATTTCGGGATTAATCTGAAACCAATGTGCAAACCTTGTGAAGTGTCTTACACTCTCCTCCCAAATATGGCGTATTTTGAATTCATCCCCGTCATTGAAGATCATGACGAAAAGATGCAGGAGAAGGTCTATTGCAATGGCAAATCTGATCAGAAAAATGGGATTAACGAGGAAGAATGGGTAAAAAGTAAAATCGTGGATCTTGTGAATGTCAAAATTGGTCATTACTATGAACTTGTTGTGACCACATTCACAGGTAAATCTATTTCACATGCTGTATTTATTCTTTGTATTCACTTATAATAAAGATAATAGTCAACCATAATGAAAAGTCACTTGCATTCTTTTAATTGTGTGATTTTTATTTTCAGGTCTGTATAGGTACAGAGTTGGAGACATTCTCATGGTGACTGGTTTTCACAATAATGCTCCTCAATTTCGATTTGTGCAAAGACGAAACGTGGTTTTGAGCATTGACACTGACAAAACGAGTGAAGAAGACCTCTTGAAGGCAGTAACAGATGCAAAGCTTGTTATTGAATCGCTTGGATTCCTTCTGACCGAATATACTAGCTATGCTGACACCACTTCAATTCCCGGTCACTATGTGCTCTTCTGGGAGCTTCAAAAGAGAGAAAATACAGACCAGCAGCCAGAACTTGATCCTGTTGTAATGGAGCAATGCTGCTACAGAGTGGAAGAGTCTCTAGATTCTGTGTACAGGAGGTGCAGGAGGAAGGACAAATCAATTGGTCCCTTAGAAATCAGAGTTGTGAAACACGGAACCTTTGATGCACTCATGGATTTTTGTCTTTCTCAGGGATCTTCTGTAAATCAATACAAGACGCCACGTTGTATTAAATCTGAGGAAGCTACCAGGGTTCTCAACTCGAGGGTGGTCGCTAGATTTTTCAGCAAAAATGTTCCTTCATGGGAGCCTTTTAGAATTGAAGAAAATAAGTTAAGGTCAGACATGCACAGAGCAGTTTGATGGTCATTTCTGGATACAAGTTTCCAGCTTATTTCGTAAAAATATCCTAGTATTCGCTAAAACTATTTTGGATTGAAGCCTTAAAACCTACAATTTATATGATTAAAACATATTTAGTGTGGAAAACCTGCAGACTACTCCAGTCTCCAGATTTAAAATATTTCGATGTGCAGCCTATTCACATTAGAGTATAGGAAAACTTGAGCCAAGATCCTTAACATGTTTTTTTCTAGTATATGGTGAAGAAACCAAAGGCTATAGACTTTCGGTTAAAAAACAGAAGGGCTTTAGAGTAATAATAAGAATAAACATAAAATGTGATGCCTTGTTTAAATTCTGTTACTTTGGTTTCTGTCGAAATTAGATGATTAGCTTGATTGGAGTGCCATCTCAATTGAAACAGATCATGTACACTATGATGAGGAAACTGAAAATCTGACTTTAGCTGATTACGAGTTGGCAATCGATAGAAGTAGAAGAAATAGATTTCCTTCTACTAGAATCAGCAATGAAGATTTTGTAACCCTTTTCTCTACTTAAGATTCATTTAATTCTAAACTAAGTACTTATGAAGAAGCTATATGAAGCCATGAAAGATGAAATTGATTCTTTATTAATGAAAAATAAAACTTGAATTCTTGTTGATAAACCTAATAATCAGACGATAGTTGACTGTAAATGAGTTTATAAGATTAGAGAAGGTAGACATAATTCTAAAACTAAGAGGCATAAAGCTAGGTTAATAGCAAAGGGGTTTACTCAAAAAGGGAATAGATATTCTCACATGTTGCAAAATATACATCTAACATAATTATGATATTTTTAGGCTGCACATTGGATCAGCTTGATGTGTGTGTGTGTGTGTGAATCAACCTAGGGGTTTTGAGTTAAAATCCAAAATTGAAAATGTTTAGCTGTTGAAGAAATCCTTATATGATTTGAAACAGGCTGTAGGCAGTGGTATAAGAAGTTCAACTTATATTCAAATTTTGGGCTTTATGAAAAGCAAATTTAATTCTTGTTTCTTCTATAAATGTGCTTTTATATGTTGATAATATGTTGTTAGCATGTAATCATATGAAAAAATAGACAAAATAAAATCAAAGTTGTAATTTGAGTTGGAAATGAAAGATCTATGACAAGAAAAGAGAATATTAGGCATAGAAATTAAAAGAGAGAGACTGAATTATATTCCTCTTTGTTTGATTGTGAACTTGTTGCTCTGTCTTTAGCTAATTACTTTAAATTTTCAAGTGAACAATCAACTAAAACTAGTGAAGAGTTAGAAAGGATGAATAAAATACAAATACGGTTGATTCTATTATGTATTTGATGGTCTATACCCGACCCCGTCTAGTTCATGGCATAAGCATTTTAAGCATGTTTATGACAAATCCATGTGAAACACATTGGATTGATATAAGATTGATGCTTAGATATTTAAAAAGTTCACTTGTGTTGGGGTTAAAGTTTAAAATATGTGATCAAGGCCACAACGATAAAAATTCGAGCGGGTCGTAGGTAGGAGGTTCATGAAATAAGTCTTTCGCCACCCCCATCAAGGGGTTCCCCACATTGGCAAGTCCACATATTCCAATGTTTAGGCAAAAGAAATGCTGATGAAGTTTGTGAGTGATGAGTTGCTCCACACTGGCCTTGTTAGTGATCTTCATATAAGAAGATCAAATTCTTATGTCTTTACTCTTTGTGATGGGTGCATTAGTTGGAAATTCCAATTGCAAAAGATTGTAGCTTTATCTTCAATTGAGGCATAGTATATAGTAGCTTATGATAATGTCAAAGAAGGATTTTTTTTTTTCGGGGGCTATTAAGGGAAATTAGTTTTGATGATTGTTCAGTTATATACAAATAATCAAAGTGCAGTTCATCTAAGTAAAAATCTTTTATGTAGGATAAAACACGTTGATATAAAATTTCATTTTTCTAGAGACATGATTGAAAATGGTATGATTGCATTTAAAATTCGAACTTGGTACAATCCCTCTAATCTTGGTACTAAAGTTGTTCCCTAAGTTTAAAAATTGCTTAATTATTCTAACTAGTACAAGAATGTAATGTTTTGAATACAGTAAGCAAGATAGTTTGTACTAGATTTAAACTAATTCTTCTTTCTTTCTTTTTTTTAAATTACAGGTTAATCGGATCAAGTGAAACAATTGTTGGAAAGTTTTGATTAGTAAGATGGAGGTTGTTAATTAATTGTGCATCAAATTGACGAGGTTGACTTTGCCTATATTTGATGAAAGTTAGTTTTGCTAAATGGCATTTTTAGCTTACTAAGTGGATGGATATGAGCATTACACATGGTTCAATTAGAGTGTGTTTGATTGAAATGGAAAATATTTATTGGAAAAGAAACTCTTCCAAAGAAAATGTTTTCCTTAAAAACAAGGAAAATTATGCATATTTTCAAAAGTTGAAAATTATTTTTAATGGACAAAAAATAGCAATCAAACACTTCAAATTAGGAATTTGAATAGAAAACTAACATTTTTCATGGAAAATAAATACAATCAAACACACCCTTACAGTAATTGGATGGAAGGCCTTTACCTATCTCTTCTAAAAGGGCTCTAACCCTAATTCACACACAATAGGTTCTCTGGTCTATCTCGTTCTTCTCTGTAGAAATCTTGCGTGGGTTTTTGTGTACATAGCGTAGGCAAAGGAGAAGAGGGTTTTGTTTACTTTGGCGAACAATTAGGTTGTGTTTGATAGACAAGTTTTTTTTGGCAATTACTTTTTCTCTTGGTGCCCACACGTGCACCAATGCCTTGAAATTAAGGAATTCATTTTCCCACCTTTTTGGTGGGAAAACTGAATTTCAGGTTTCTGATTTTTTTTTTTTTTTTAATTTTTCAATAGAAACAAATTTCATAATCAATTGTAAAAAAAAAAATTCTCTTTAATGAACAATTTTCATGTAAAATAAAGTCAAACGAACACTAAACTTTGACAAAAAAAAAAATTTATTTATTTTTTTTGACTTTTTGTAAATGGAAACAAATTTTATAACCAATTGCGGAAAAAATTATCAATTTAATGGACAATTTCCATGTAAAACAAAGCCAAACAAACACAAAATTTAAAAATTTTTTGGGTGGAAAATTATACCAATCAAACACACTTAATTAACAATTCTTTGGAAAACAATTTTTAGGCAATTACTTTCCCCAAAATTCATTTTCTTTCAATCCATTTTCCACCATTGCAATCAAACGGACCCTTAGTGTAATTTGAGTGAGTCTAGAAATATTGAACAATAGTATTGAACGACTATTGGTAATAGTTTTCAGCAGCACTGCTTGATCTACTTTATATGATCAACGGCTGCATAACGTTTAGAGGAACATGAACATTTGTGCCCATGAGTAGTTGAAAAGTCTCTGTGATCAATATTTAATTTTTTGAAAATCTGCTTTGATATTTTTGGGTTTAAACGATATATTGGGACCAATTGCATCTCCAAATGTAGAAGGAGGGACAAAGTATTGGTCAGCTCCAGCAATTTTCAGGGACTAAGTCAAGCTGTGATTCTTAATCAAAGAATTCATCTCAAAATTAACTATCTACCAGAGAGATTGTTAGATTCATGCGCGTAGAGAATGTTTTGCACGCAACATTGAACACGACTCTTATGATACTGTTTAGCAATTTACAATTTACCCTACCATACAAACAAACCAATAAGATTGATGACATAATAGCTATTAATGTAGACGCACGGATTACTACATTTTATATCCAGAAGATAAATATGACTATCTTTGACATGAAGCAAAGATGAAAGAAAGAGCATGGAAACTAAGATAAAGGCTAGCATGAAGCCACGAGTAGAGAAGTAACATGATTATTACAAGGGGACAAGGAGAGGAAAGCAAGGAAACGGTAGGAACAGAGGGAAAAAGGTGTATGAGATGGGGGCCTGCCTTCTATTTTTTGTTTTCTATGTCTCGAGCATTTATGTTCTACATGTGGCCTCAACCACCAGCCTTTATAATTTATCCTTGCCCTTATCATTTTTCCCGAGTATTATACAGAATAAGGCTCTAATCTTGTATATATCTTTAGTATTTGTTTTCCTTGGGAACCTTCATTAATATACCTTTGGAAACATAAAAATCAGTCAATATGAGGTGAGGCAACACAAGATGGCAAAAAGGGGGAGTAGGTTGGATTATTAAATACATGCTAGTATGTGTGTGATTGGACTTGGTACTTTCTGTGGGTGGGATGGAATCGCAAAAAGCATGGAGGGTGGAGCGTGATTAAATACACGAGAGTAAATGACAATGCCAATTCCAAGCACACGCGTGCTCAATTCATGGCAATACCCCCTCGTGCACTCATCCCATCCACGGAATCCATATATCCCTCTCGCCTCATTTATTCAAGTGTTTGATTTTCGGTGTTGAGAGCCCTTTTCAGACAATAGTAATACAGGTTTGATGTTGAAACGAGTATGATTGTGGGACCTCATCACATGAGACAGCTTCCGCCTGCTTTGAATCATGTCTCAAATGGACTTGGGATTGCTACAGCTATTCATTTGTTTCTAGTTTAACGTGGGGATATTGTATTTGGGGTGGAATTCTATCCTATTGAAAATCATTCACACCAATTATTCATACCAATAATTGTATCTATCTAGTTCGCCTATCGTAATACCAAACGAAGCTTGGTGTTGGCCGTCGGGGTCAAAATATGTGTCAACCGTCTTGAATTGGGATTGTCCTTTGAGGTCATTCGACAGTCAAGTCAACTTCAATGTATGTGTTCTCATAATAAAAGCATCTAGGTTTATCTATAATATATCGCATTAAGTGAGAATCATTTTCTGGACGATTTTANGAAATATATTGAAAGAGGACATAAGGTATGCATTCTTTATTCCTAGTAGTAGTAATCACTAATTTTCTTGTCAATCGCCATTGATAGTATGGTTTGCACTGTGTGTGTGAATCTTTAGATACCTGTTACTCTGTTGTTCAACATTTGAAGTCCCTTTCTTAGTTAAGTGAATTATACAAATGTGAAGTTCGCTATGATTAAGAGTGTGTTTGGTAGGGATTTTTGAGGAAAGAATTGATTTTTGAATAGTGATATGATGGGAAATGTGTGGTTGAAAAAGAAGAAAAAAGTTGATGTGATGGAAAATATTATTTTATTAAAGAATGTGTGGTTGAAAATGAGAATTGATTTACTGTAGAAAATGAAAATCTGTACCAAACAGGCCTTTAAAGTGTTTCATTTTATTTGTTGACTGGTGCAATTGTCGAGACATTTGAAATTAAGTCCGTGTCAAGTTTAGATAAAAATAAGAATCTTAATAAATTATGATAAAAGTTGATGGAATGCGTAGTTGAAAAGTCGGGACTTTCAGAAATATGTGGTTAAAATTAATTGTTGACTTTGACTTAATTTTTCTCAACTTTTTAAGCTGAACCAAACAAGAGCTAAGTGAATTTTTCAAGTAGGGTGAGAAGGAAATTTCTATGCAGGCGTTTCCATTTTTCAATTAGTTAATTGGTGCATAATAATATTATGTAGAGTTGTATAAATATGAGAACATTTATTTCATGTGCCTTATTTAGCCCATATTTGGCCCCATCAAAATTTTGATACATCTCTCTCTCTCTCTCTCTCTCTCTCTCTCAACAATACATTCTTCAATAAAATAATATTACACGTAAATCATTAACTTTTCCTTCTTTTTTGGTCACACATTCTCTCAAGATTATTATTCTAAAATACATTATTTCAAAAATGTCATTATAATAGGGGTCAAACAAGAGCTTAATTTACAAGCTGGCATGAGGTGTATAATATTATTTACATCGTATCATCATTGAGTGAGGTTCTATGAGATGAATTTTATGCAAAACAATGCCCCATTTAAGAGTGCAGAATTTCGGACTGTGGCGGACAAGCAATTAAGTAAATAACATAAAAACATTTCGATGAGATCAAGGTGAAGAATCTCTCCCCTATGAGTTCAAAACATATTTTTCAGATAATGGAATTTTATCTCCATTAAGTATGCCATGAACACCTCTATAAAACGTTATGTCAGAAAGGAGAAATTGAATCATAGTTATTAGACCCGACTCGGACATTGACTCGGTCAAGGTACTAGATCATCGAGTTATTAGTCGGACTAGTGAACCGGCTGGTCATTACTTAAAAATTATCTAAAAAATTTTAAAGTATAATTATTATTATTATTATTAAATTTTTTTTTTTGAGACAATTAAATTTTTCAATTTATTTGTTACTAATTATTTTTATAACCTTTAAATTAAAGATTTTTTGAACTCTTTTATTAGTGATAATGGTTACATTTTGATTTTATAATTTTGTATATTATATTTTCCCTTTTTGTGATGTACAAATCATTTATTAGTTATTGACCAATAATTTATGTGTATTACATTTATTAGTTATTGACCAATAATTTATGTATATTATTTGTTCAATTTATTTTAGTTCAAATTAAATATTTCAAACAAAATAAGTATATAAAACAATTATTTGATATTACAAAATGAATGAAAATATTGGACTAATTTTATTAAAAATATTTTTAGAAGACAACAAATTGTTCATAGGTTAGATATAATTTATTACACTAAAGGACAACAAATGTATTTTTTTGCTTTGGTGGTAAGATTATATTCTAGTTAGCTAGATGTCAAGTGTTCAAATCTTGAGTCCCCTAAAATTTCATTAGAGAAAAGGGAAGATGGATAAGATAGAACCGAAATAAAAATGATTCATGTTTATAGGTTATCCAACCACGAGATAAGAAGATATTTTTCAGTACCAATGCAATCTTTGTAGAGGACAAGTATATTGGAGAAAGAGCGTCCAAGAACAAGGTTCTACGGGAGGAAATGAATGAAAATGTTCATAGCTCATCTACTTTAGAGATCTGCATAGAACGTGTGATCAATGATTTCGAACCACCTACAGATTTTATGGGAGCTGATTTCAATGGAAGGAATATAAAAGCAACACCTAAGCTTGTTTTTCCAATTGATAAGGCAGGAACATAAATCATAGGAAACAGAACCATATGTCATCGACAATTGTAGGTACAGTGATTGAGATAATTGATCAAGGACTTGATGATATAGAGGGAGGGAGAATTAGTCTGCCTCCAATTGAATACGA